GCCCAGGAGTTTGAGGCTATGTTGAGCCATTATTGTGTCACTATACTCTAGCCCAGGTGACAGTGAGATCCCACCTGAAAGAAAAGTGTGTTTTTGCTGTTTTGGAATGGTGAACTCTTATGTAACAAGTAGGGAGAGGGAGTCTTTAAACTTGAACACCAAGGACATATTAAATAACCATGGGTGAAAACATGTCTTTTGCAACATTAATCTTAATATAGTGTTGTTTGATCACCAAGGACATATTAAATAACAATGGGTGAAAACGTATCTTTTGCAACATTAATCTTAATATGGTGTTGTTATATTTTCAGAAACTACTAAAGTTCCTGGGGAAGCAAAGTAGAGTTTCATAAGAACATAATGGGTAAGTTATATAAAGGTGCTTTTGTGTTTTGAGTAGAAGTTGGTTTTTCTTCTCCATTAAAGATAGAACTTCAGGTTGGGCATGATGGCTCACATCTGTAAATCCAGTGCTTTGGGAGGCCAAGATGGGAAGATTCTTGAGGTCAGGAGTTTGAGGTCAGCCTGGGTGAAAGTGAGACCCTCATCTAAAAAAAAAATCTTCAAAATCAGGGTATGCAAGTGAGAATATGGTCAGAGTGACTGAAATTAGTTGTTTACATCAGCAACTTATGTTTACTGTTCAGTCATCCTCCATATAGCAATATTTTGGTCAATGATAGACCACATAGTCAACGTGATTCCATAAGATTATGACAGAGCTGAGAAGTGTACAATGAGTTTATTTTAAGCTAAGTATTATTACAAATGAGTCAAAAAGTTTAAAGAATTAAATTTGATTAAGTAAAAATGTCAAGTAAAAAATTTAAAACATTTTTAAAATTTAAGTTTATAAAGTAGAAAAGTTAAGTAAGGTTAACTTATTGTAGACAGAAAAATTTTTTTTTCAAGTTGGAGTCTTACTCCATCGCCCAGGCTGGAGGGCAGTGGCGTGTTCACGGCCACCACAGCTCTGACCTGCTGGGCTCAGGCGATCCTTCCGCCTCAACCTTCCAAGTAGCTGAAACTACAGGTGTGTGCCACCACACCCAGCTAATTTTTTGATTTATTGTAGAGACAGGATCTCGCCAAGTTGCCCATGCTGGTCTCAAACCCAGAGCTCAGGCAATCCTCTTACCTCCGCCTCCCAAAGTGCTGGGATTATAGGCATGAGCCACCGCACCCAACTTGAAGAAAAAAAAATTTTTTTCTTTTTTTGAGCTGGAGTCTCACTCTATCACCCAGACTGGAGTGCACCTGTCCACAATAAATTAGCACACCTGTCACCACGCCCGGCTAATTTTTGATTTATTGTGGAGATGAGGTCTCGCCAAGTTGCCCAGGCGGGTCTTGAACGCGCAGGCTCAGGCAATTCACTCACCTCAGCCTCCCAAAGCGCTGGATTACAGGCTGAGCCACTGAGCCCAGCTAGAAAAAAAATTTTGTAATTGAATTTAGTGTGGCCTGAATGTATGGTGGTTATGAAGTCTGCTTTCGTGTACAGTAACATCACAGGCCTTCACACTCACTCACCACTCGCTCACTGACTCACTCAGAGCAACTGGCAGTCCTGTAAGCTCCATTCAAGGTAGGTACCCTATGCAGGTGTATCGTTTAAAACTTTTTATACCATGTTTTTACAGTACCTTATCTATGTTTAGATACACAAATACTTTCATTGTATTACAGTTGCCTGCAGTGTTCATCACAGTAACATGCTGTATAGGTCTGTAGCCTAGGAGCAATAGGCTATACCATGTAGTGTAGGTGTGTAGCTTAGTAGGTGGATACTGTCTAGGTTTGTGTAAGTACACTTTATGATGTTCATACAATGATCAAATCGCCTAATGATGCTTTTCTCAGATGGAATCCCTATCAAAACAAAACCAAAAGAAATAAAAAACAAAAACTTTTTTTTGAGAAATAAAGAAGGTAGCCGGGCTCGGTGGCTCAGTCTGTAATCCCGCGCCTTTGGGAGGCTGAGGTGAGTGGATTGCCTGAGCCCGCGGGTTCGAGACCCACCTGGGCAACTTGGCGAGACCTCATCTCTACAGTAAACCAAAAATCAGCTGGACGTGGTAACGCGCGCCTGTAGTTCCAGCTACTTGGAAGGCTGAGGCGGGAGGATCGCTGGAGCCCAACAGGCTGAGGCTGCGGTGGCCGGGAGCGGCCACTGCACTCCAGTCTGGGCGAAAGAGTGAGACTCCAACTCAAAAAAAAAAAGAAAAAGAAATAAAGAAGGTATTCCCATCAGCAAGCAACACATGACTAGATATTCCTGCAAGGCAGATCAGTAACAGTATTGTGCTAACTCTGATTTGTGGTTTCTAGTAAGTAATTGTACTCAAAGAAATTTGAAACTTTCCCAACAAACATAACATTGTTTAGCACAGCAAATATTAGAAGCATACATTTTTTAAATTGATAACTATTTTCATTTTTGTTGTCAGAGGCTGGCAAAAACTGCTAAAAATTGGTATGCTTGAATAGTCCATAATTTAGAACCTACATCTTTTGAGTCCCCCAACTTTTTATTATGAAAAATTGCAAAGAAAACATTCTAACAGAGCTTTCACTGGATTTGTTAATGGTTTGCTGCATTTACTTTCTCTGTGTGTGTGGGTTTATATTGTAGGGGCAGCAAAACTCTACTTCAGTCCTCTTAGAGTCCTGGCTGAGTCCAAGAATTAAATCTACATAATATAGATTAACAAGAGAAAAGCATACATATTTACTTAATGCAAGTTTTACATGGCATGTAAGCCCTCATAAAAAGATGAAGACCAAAGCCAGATGTGGTGGTGCACGCCTGCAGTCCCAGCTACTCAGGAGGCTGAGGCAGGAGGGTCACTTGAGCCCAGGAGGTCAAGATCAGCTGGGGCAACATAACAAAACCCTGTCTCTAAAAAGGAAAAGTAAATTAAAGATCCCCCCCCAACGAAGTAGTTAGAGTCAGTTACTTATATAGTGAGTGGGACTAAGAGTAGTGTGTTATGAAGAAGCAACTAAATTATGTAGAGACACTTAAAAGAGTTATTTTAGTAAGGAATATACATAATTCTCTTGGTCTCGACTTTTCTTTAAGGTAAGGATGTTGAATCCTTCTCATGTGAATTTCATCTTTTGCTTTCAAAAACAGCATGAAGGTCAGAATGATCTTGTTAATGCTATTTTCCAAGTGCTGCTAACCCAAATCAGTATGTCAGAGTGGTACATTTTTAACTCCATTATACACACATATGCTCATTCACGTAATATGCTTTTTGTCTATATGACTTAAGATTTTTAGAGTCGATCATACTCAGTGATCTATCACAGAAACAAAGAACAGAGTACCGTATGTTCTCACTCATAAGCGGACCTTGAACAATTATTGTAATACTGTAAGAAAGGGATTGGCAGTAGTGGGAAGCTGCCAGGGGAGGAGGGGTGGGATTGGCAGTTGAGGGAAACTGCTAGGGGAGGGAGGGGCACACCTCATCAACAAGGGTACCTGCATAATCAATGTTTGTATACCTAACCCTGAATTGTACCCCACATCTTTAAAATTAAAAAAAAAAAAAGATTTAGTTGCTCATATAACAATGCATCATACCTGAACACATCAGCATGCATCTCCTAATTCAGCCTATATTCAGAATTTCCCAGTTGTTTCATAGTGTTGTTTACAGCGAGTGTATTTTTAAAATCCAAGATCCAATCTAGGATTACTTGTTGAATTATCTTACCTCTTCAGTCTCCTTTAAACAGTTTCCTACTTTAAAGACTAGTCTTTGGTTTTTATTGTCTAATTGTTTCCTTCTAACTCTAACTCTTCTAACATTATTGCATGATTATGTTGCATTGGAAAAATTGGTTTCTGCCATTTTCTATTTTCAGGTATTTACCCGGTAAGTTTCCTCGTGACTGGATTCATAGTAAACATTTTTGGCAGCAGTAGAACATAGATGATTTTGATATTATCTTAATTTTAGGGATTTCTGAATTAACTATTAACAAAGAGATAGTTGTGGCTGAAGTGTACTTCAACTTCATCCTTCTCCTTTCTAGGGCTTCCTAAATTTTTAGAATACCCCTTAAGATATTTCTTTCATATATTGATAATTATAAAAATTAAAAGTCTGTTATAGTACAAAATTGCAAAAATTATGTATGAGGAAAGACTTTAAGGAGATACAGAAAAATGTATATACCTCCACGCAAAATTATACAGCTGGGGACTGTGACTGAAGCCAATACGGCGGCAATGGGGTTAGCTGGTACCAAAGTAACATCTATGCCTCACACCTTGACTTTGAATTTTTAAAGGTCAGTAGTTTGTGTATGTTCATTATTTCATTTATGTGATAATTTAAGCAGAGCATAGTTTAAATGAGTAGATTGATCATTGTTTTATCAATCCAGCGTGTAATGCTGAGTAAAAGAAGCCTTAAACCAGTTTTATTTTATTTTATTTTACTTTACTTTTTACTTTACTTACTTTATCTAATTTTTTTTTTTTTTGACTTGGAGTCTCACTCTGTTACCCAGACTGGAGTGCAGTGGCCGCTCCCAGCCATCACAGCCTCGACCTGCTAGGCTCTGGCGAACCTTCCACCTCAGCCTTCCAAGTAGCCGGAATTACAGGCGCGCGCAACCACGCATGGCTCATTTTTGATTTATTGTAGAGATGAGGTCTCACCAAGTTGCCCAGGTGGATCTTGAACCCGTGGGCTCAGGCAGTCCACTCACTTCAGCCTCCCAAAGCGCGGGATTCCAGGCTAAGCCACCGAGCCCCGCTTCTTATTTTATTTTTTAGAGATAGGGCTTCACTCTGTTGCCCAAGCTGGAGTTCAATGGCATGATCATAGTTCATTGCATCCTTGAACTCCTGTGCTCAAATGGTCTTCCTGCCTCGCCTCCCAAAGTAGAGGCATTATGGGCAGGAACCACTGTGCCCAACTGTTTGTTTTTAATACATTATGTGATTTAAAATTCATTTCACTACTTTACTTTAGATGGAGAGGAGAAAACCTATGGTGGCTGTGAAGGCCCTGATGCCATGTATGTCAAATTGATATCTTCTGATGGTCATGAATTTATTGTAAAAAGAGAACATGCACTAACATCAGGAACAATAAAAGCCATGTTGAGTGGCCCAGGTAAGTACAATTCTGTTTTTTTCTTTATACGTTTTTACTTTTAATGTTTGAAGAGTATGTTTTTAAGTTGAATTAAATGACCCAAGACATTTAAAGAGAAAATAGCTTTTTTTTTTTTTTTTTTGAGTCGGAGTCTAACTCTGTTACCCAGGCTGGAGTGCAGTGGCATGCTTATGGCCACCGCAACTTCAACCTGCTGGGCTCAGGCAATCCTTCCACCTCAGCTTTCCAAGTAGCTGGAAGCACAGGTGCACGCCACCATGCCTGGCTAATTTTTTTATTTTTTATTTTCTTTTTTTTTTTTGAGTTGGAGTCTCACTCCATCACCCAGTTACCCGACTGGAGTGCCGTGGCACACTCCCAGCCACTGCAACGTTGACCGACTGGACTCCAGCAATCCTTCCACCTCAGCCTTGGCCAAGTAGCTGAAACTACAGGCACGCGCTACCATGCCCGGCTAATTTTTGATTTATTGTAGAGACGAGGTCTCGCCAAGTTGCCCGGGCGGGTCTTGAACCCGCGGGCTCAGGCAATCCACTCACCTCGACTTCCCAAAGCGCTGGGATTACAGGCTGAGCCACCGAGCCCGGCTTAATTTTTTTATTTATTGTAGTGATGAGGTCTCGCCAAGTTGCCCAGGCTGGTCTCAAACCCCTGAACTTGGGCTATCCTTTCACCTCTGCCTCTCAAAGTGTGAGATTACAGGCATGAGCTACCATACCAGCCAAGAATAACTCTTCTAACATTATTGCTTGATTTTGTTGCATTGGAGAAAATTGGTTTCTGCCATTTTCTGTTTTTAGGTATTTACCCTGTATGTTTCAAGAAGACTGAATTGATTATTTAGTAATAAGAAAACTTTTTTCCCCGCATTAGTTTTCATGGCCAACTTCTTATCTACAGACTGGTTTGTGTACCTAGTTAGACATGACATTTGTCTATAGAAGTTACCATTACCACCACCAGGAACGGTGGCTTACACCTGTAATCCCAGCACTTTGGGGGAGGCCAAAGCAGGTGGCTTGCTTGAGCCCATGAGTTTGAGAGCATCCTAGGCGACATAGCAGGACCTCATCTCTACAGAAAATCAAAAAACTAGCTGGACGTGGTGGTGCACACCTGTAGTCCCAGCTACTTGGGGGGCTAAACTGGAAGGATCTCCTGAGTCCAGGAGGTCAAGACTGTGGTGAGCCATGATCTTAGCACTGCACTCCAGTTTGAGTGACAGAGCAAGACGCTGGCTCAAAAAAAAAAAAAAAGCAATTACTACCTTCCAAATCTCTATTCCTAACTCTTTTTTTCTCAAAGTAAAATTCACATAACATAGAATTAACTGTTTTAAAGTGTACCATTTAGTGGTATTTACTATATTTTGCAACCACCACCTCTGACTATTTTAAAAACATTTTTATTACTCCAAAAGCAAAACCCCATATCCATTAAGCTGTCACTGTCCATCCCCATTCTGTATCCCCTACCCCTATGTCTAACAGCTGCCTTTCTGCTTTCCCTATTCTGAACATTTTATATAAATGGAATCATACAATTTGTGTCCTTTTTGTCTGATTTTTGTCTCTTGGCTTTTGAGGCTATCTGTGTGGTAGCTTATACAATACTTCATTCTTTTTATGGCTGAATAATATTCCATTCAGCCATATGTGAATGTACTACATTTTTTTTATTCTTCAGTTGGTGAATATTTGGGTTTTTTCCACCTTTCAGCTGCCATGAATTGTGCTGCTGTGAACATTCATGTGCAAATATTTGTTTGATTACTTGCTTTCAGTTTTTGTAGGTCTCTACCTAGGAGTGGAGTTGCCTGGTCATATGGTAATCCTGGGTTTAACTTTTGGAGGAACCACCAATTGTTTTTCCACAGCAGCTGAATTATTTTACATTTCTACCAGTAGTGTCCTAAGGTTCCAATTTTCATACTTCCTGGCCAATATTTATTATTGTCTTTTTTATTACAGCTATCTCAGTAAATGTGAAGTGAATATCTGGTGGTTTTGACTTGTATTTCCTTGGTAACTGATGACGTTGAACATCATTTCATGCGCTTACTGATAATTTACGTGTCTTGTTTGGAGAAGTATCTATTCAAGTCTTTTGCCCAATTTGCATTGAGTGGTTTGTCTTTTTGTTGCGTTATAAGAGTTCTTTATTAATTCTCACTATTTAACCCTTATCAGATGTATGATTTGCAAATATTTTCTTCTCTTCCAAAGATTGGCATTGCCATTTGAAGCAAAAACATTTTTAATTTTTATTAAAACATTTCTTTATTTTTTCTTTTGTTTTTATATCATATATAAGAATCCATTGACAAATCCAACATGTAGATTCTAGGCGTTTTATGGTTTTGGCTCTTACATTTAGGTCTTGAAATTTTTGTTTATGCTATGAGATGAGGGATCAGCTTTATTCTTCTGCATGTGGATATACCACTAACATTTAAAGAGACTATTCTTTTGTCTTTAGTCTTGGCACACTTACTGAAAGTCAGTTGACCATAAGTGTGTGTCTATTTCTGGTCTCTCAATTCTATCTCCTAGATCTATTTGTTTATCCTTATGCCAGTACCACACGTTTTTGTTTTGTTTTTTTGAGTTGGAGTCTTACCCAGACTGGAGTGCAGTACCATGATCACAGCTCACTGAGCCTTGATCTCCTTGGTTCAGGCAGTTCTTCCATCTTAGCCTCCCAAGTAGTTGGTACTATAGGCACATGCCACCACACCCAGCTAATTTTTTTTTTTTTTTAAGAGAGAAGATCTTGCTTTGTTGCCTAGATTGATCTCGAACTCCTGGGTTCAAGCAGTCCTCTTGCCTTATCCTCCCAAAGTGCTAGGATTACAGGCATGAGCCACCATGCCCAAACAACACTGTTTTGAGTACTGTAGCTTTGTAATAAGTTTTGAAATTGGAATGTATGAGACCTCCCAACTTTGTTTTTCTGTTTCAAAATTGTTTTAGCTATTTAGGGACCTTTGCCATTTTTTCCCTATATTTTTCACTATGGAGAGTTTTTAAGGTGCACAGAAATAAACACAATTATATAATCACCTCCATGTACCCATCAACCAACTTTAACAGTTATTAACGTTTTGCCAATCTTATTTCATTTTGTCTTCTTTTTTGGGAGTATTTCAAACACATCCTGATATTGTGTAATTTCACTTGCAAAATCTGTGATAGTTCCCTTACATTTTCCTTTTTTCCCCAGGTCATCAGTTTTACAGAGAAACAATGTCACGTGTATGATGTCCACATGACAGATTGAATTAATGGTTTTTTTGTTTGTTTGTTTTTGTTTTGTTTTTAATTTTATTTTAAAGATGTGGAGTACAATACAGGATTAAGTATACAAATGTTCATTTTGCAGGTACTCTTATTGATGAGGTATGCCTTCCCCAAATTAATGTTTTATTTTGTAAACTTATAGTTAGAATTCCAGAGGCTTGATTAGACTCTGGTTTATTTTTCTAAGTAAATACTTTATAGGTGGTACTATTGTATTCCTGTTGTATCATATCTTTTAGCAATGTCAGGCTTGATTAGTGGGTTTCAGGATAGTCAAGCTGATTCATCCATGTAAAATTCCCCACTCCAATTTAGCATTCATTGGGATTATGCTGTGATTTATTTCATTTGGGATCATAGTGATTTTCTAATTCTGTAATTTCTTCTGTGTTCATAAGCTAGAATTCTCCTATAAGGAACTATTTGGTTACCTCTAAATACAGTCTATATAGGAAAGACAAGATAAAGGCTTAGTTTTTCTTTTTCCTTTACATAAAATTTTTCACGATAATAAATTGATTCTCCAGCATCATCCAGTAGTTGAGTGTTTTGTTTTGGTTTGTGTTTTTTTTTTTTGAGTTGGAGTCTCACTCTGTTAACCCGGACTGGAGTTGGAGTCTCACTCTGTTAACTCGACCTGCTGGGCTCTGGTGAACCTTCCACCTCAGCCTTCCGAGTAGTCGGAATTACAGGCACGCGCTACCATGCCCGGCTGATTTTTTTATTTATTGTAGAGATGAGGTCTCGCCTGCCCAGGCGGGTCTCGAACCCACAGGCTCAGGCAGTCCACTCACCTCAGCCTCCCAAAGGCGTGGGATTACAGGCTGAGCCACCGAGCCCGGCTTGTTTTGGTTTTTTTTGAGTGTTTGCATATCATCAAAAGCATGTGACTTTTTATATTAGATGTTTTTTAGTCTGTTGCAGTCATTCTTACTGGTGCTCAGATTGCTCTATTTTTATGCCAGAAAAAGCCACATCAGGTTGGCTCCTCTGTCCTTTAGCCATGGCTCTGTTAGTTTTGAATAGCTGTATTTCTTTCTGTAATAAGATTTCTCCGACTTGTCGTGTACGTTGGTTTCCCAGTTCTGAAAACAGCTGTTTTTCTAACAAGACTTGTTTTCTTTTAGTAGAAAATGGTATTTAGGGGCCTCTGCCTGGGTGCCAGAGGTGCTCATTGCTCCCAGGTTGAATTGCTTTTAGTCTTTTCCATGGGACAGTGTTACTTCAGGAAGAAAAAAAAATCACAATCACTAACAAAATTTTAATTAAAAATTAAGATTAAAGGGCTTTTGCTTTTTGTTACTTTGATCTCATTTAAACACAAGATTTTTATTTGAAGGATTTGAAGGATCAGGAAAACATTCAGCCTAATGTAAAACTGTTTGCATAAAAAGGGATGAAGATTGATGCGTGTACAGTGTGGATGCACCACCAAAACATGCTAAGTGAAAGAAAGCAGACACCAAAGGCCACATTTTTATGATTCCATTTGTATGAATATCCAGAGTAGGTAAATTCATAGAGATAGAAAGTAGATTGATGTTTGCCAGAGGCTAGGGGATGGGGAAAATCTGCTTAGTGGACACAGGGTTTTATTTTGGGGTGATGAAAATGTTTGGAACTTAATAGAGGAGATGGTTGCACAACAGTGTGCATGAACTAAATGTCACTGAAATGTACACTTTAAAATGGTTAATTTTATGCTATATGAATTTCACCTCGGAAAAAACCACTGCTATTTGTTTAGTATCAAAGACTTAATGAGTGCTTGCTAGTAATATTTTACATATTCAAGAAAGGGAGCTTTAGTTATTGGTAAACCAAAATTTACCTTATTTTTGTGAATTATGTGCTGAGTTCTGCTTGTTTCCTTTCTCCCTTCCCCACTATACCCCCAACTAATAGACAGTTTCTAGAAAATTTAAAATACTGCATTTTCAGAAAGTATATGTTTAGACGTGAAATGCTTTTTTTTTTATTCAGTACATAGTGCTAGTACTAGTCTGCTGAGAATATTTTTTATCCCAATGAGTAAAGACTAAATTATGTGACTTATATGTAGCTACAGAAATTTTGTGGAATGACTGAAAGATCATTCCACAACATTTCAACGGAAATATCTTGTGAGGAGATCCCATTAACATGATCATATTTTTTAAAAGAGTATTTTCAGCTGGGCACAGTGACTCACGCCTATAATCCTAGCACTTTGGAAGGCCAAGGCAGGAGACCAGAAGTTCAAGACCAATCTGGGAAATACAGCAAGACCCTGTGTATACAAAATATTTTTTAATAGCTGGGCGTGTTGGCACATGCCTGTAGTCCCCAGTACTCAGGAGGCTGGGATAAGCTATGACTATACCAGTGTACTCTAGCCTAGATGACAGAGTGAGACCCTGTCTCTTAAAAAAAAGTAATATTCTATTATTTTATGCTTTATAGATTCATTTACTACCAGAAAAAAAACCAGAAGATCTGTTCTTTGTCTTAACTTTTTTTTTTTTTTTTTTGAGTTGGAGTCTCACTCTATTGTCTAGACTGGGGGGCAGTAGCATGCTCACGGCCACCGCAGCCTCAGCCTGCTGGGCTCAGGCAATCCTTCCACCTCTGCCTTCCAAATGGCTGGAACTACAGGCATGCTCACCACGCCCAGCTATTTTTTTGATTTATTGTAGAGATGAGGTCTTGCCAAATTGCCCAGGCTGGTCTTGAACTCATGAGCTCAGGCGATCCTCTCACCTCGGCCTCCCAAAGTGCTGGGATTATAGGTGTGAGCCACTGCGCCTGGCCTCTAACTTTATTTTTACATGTCAGTTCAGTATACCACAGGGCTCCTGATGATCCATAAAGTCTTGATTCCCTGGACTGAATCTTTTATTTTATTTTATTTTTTTAGTTGCAGTCTTACTCTGTCACCCTGGCTGGAGGGCAGTGGCATGCTCCCGGCCACCACAGTCTCGACCTGCTGGGCTTCAGTGATCCTTCCATCTCAGCCTTCCAAGTAGCCAGAACTACAAGCGCGCACTACCACACCCAGCTAATTTTTGATTTGTTGTAGAGATGAGGTCTTGCCAATCTGCCTGAGTAGGTTCGAACCCATAGGCTCAAGCAATCCTCTTCTCTCGCCTTGGCCTCCCAAAGTGCTGGGATTACAGGCTAAGCCACTGAGCCCAGCCTGGACTGAATCTTTTAAAAGAATGATTTAGCTTTTGCCATCCTGCTCACTTTTCAGTAATCTTGCCACCAAAGTTCTTAGGGAAAGCTACTTAAGTTTTCCACAAGGAGAGAATTGGAATTTTAAAATTCAGTATTGGTGAATCTCAAGTACTACCTTTTTTTTTTTGAGACAGAGTCTCACTGTCACCCAGGCTGCAGTGCAGTGGCACAATCCCATCTCACCACCACCTTGACTTCTTGGACTCAAGTAGTCTTTCTACCTCAGCTACCCCATCCTCCAAGTAGCTGGCACTATAAGTATACACCACCACACCCAACTAATTTATGTATTTTTTTGTGGAGACGAGGTCTTACTATGTTGCCCAGGCTGGTCTTGAACTTCCTGGGTGCAAGCAGTTCTCCCACCGTGGCTTCCCAAAGTGCTGGGATTACATGCATGAGCCACTGAGCCCTGTACTGATAGGGTTTTGATATGAGTCTACAGACAATTGATTTATTATGGTCTCTGTGCAGTCAAACCTCACAGCTAATGTTATCCTATATTTGCAGTCACACCACAGCACTAGCATCACCACCTCAGATCCACCTCAGATCATCAGGTTATTAGAGTCTCATAAAGAGGACACAACCTAGAATCCCTTGCATGCCCAATTCACAATAGGGCTCACACTCCTATGAGAATCTAATGCCACCACTGACCTGACAGAATGTGGAGCTCAGGTGGTAATACAAGCAATGGGGAACAGCTGTAAATACAGATGAACCTTGACACTCTCACTGCACTCACCTCCTGCTGTGCGCCCCAGTTTTGTTGGGGGATCCTTGGTTTAAAGAACAGAAATGTTACTGTCTCACAATTCTGGAGGTTAGGGGTTGAAGATTAAGGTATTGGCAGAGTTGGTCTCTTCTGAAGCGTCTTTCCTTACTTTGTAGATGGCCATCTTCTCCCTGGATCTTCACATGGTCTTCCTCTGTGCCTGTCTTATGTCTTAATCTCTTCTTCAAAAACAAGTTGTAGGCCGGGCTCCGTGGCTCAGCCTGTAATCCCAGCACTTTGGGAGGCCAAGGCGAGTGGATTGCCTGAGCCCACAGGCTTGAGACCCACCCGGGCAGCTTGGCAAGGCCTCATCTCTACAATAAATCAAAAATTAGCCGGGTGTGGTAGCACATGCCTGTAGTTCCGGCTACTTGGAAGGCTGAGGCAGAAGGATCACCGGAGCCTAGCAGGTCGAGGCTGCAGTGGCCGGGAGCGTGCCACTGCACTCCAGTCTGGGCGACAGAGTGAGACTCCAACTCAAAAAAAAAAGACAAGTTGTAGTGGATTGCCACCCTAATGATTTATTTTAACTTAATTACCTCTTTAGAGACCCTATTTCCAAATAGAGTCACATTCTATGGTATTAGGAGTTAAGACTTCAACATGAATTTGGATTGCACATTTCAGGCCATATAACATATGTAATTCTTTTGTTTTACAGGTCAATTTGCTGAGAATGAAACCAATGAGGTCAATTTTAGAGAGATCCCTTCACATGTGCTATCAAAAGTATGCATGTATTTTACCTACAAGGTTCGCTACACTAACAGCTCCACCGAGATTCCTGAATTCCCAATTGCACCTGAAATTGCACTGGAACTGCTGATGGCTGCGAACTTCCTAGATTGTTAAATAAAATAAATTATAATAAACTGTTAACTTTTTTCAGTATTTAATACCTGTAGCTCAGTTAGTAATTTTTTCATATATAGCATGTTGCCTGTATGCAATTGAACTGTAAAGTTCATTGCAAAGCAGATTATGTGTTTTTTTGCATAGCAATCAGAGTTGAAATTTGTTTGCTACATCAACAAATTAAGGACATTTTCACAAACTGAGAAATAAACAAATATGCCAATTCGTAGGTGGTTTTGCCTTATCCTTTGGATGTGACTTTTAAAATTAAAGCAGTGATGATATAAATGCTGAAATTTAGGCATAAATGAACATGTTTTACAGGTAAATAATGGGGCTAAGTATTTTTGTTCTTAATGTTTTTTTTAAAATTTATTCTGATCTTATAGCTGCCATTAGCATTACTAGAGTTATACAAAGAATTGCATTATAAACATGTTTATAACTTAGCCAAAACATTGATTTTTATAACTCTCCAGGGATAAGAGTTGAAATTTCTTATGTCTTTTGATAAACTGCAGTGTTGTTTAAGTGTATCTTGTCATTTTGTTTATTGCTGCAATTTAAGAACTTTATTTTAAAAACAATGTTGGAAGGTTCCTGGGTACAGATCTTGGAGCAGTAACTGTTTGAACTGTAGCCAGATGGCCAAAAAGTAAACTACATGACTTGGAGTTTTTGTGGATTGTGTATTTTGGGTAATTCAAAGTACTGTATTTTCATTGACTATAAAGCTTCCTTTGCAACTTCCATCCTTCCTTCATGATCCCTTGTTGTGATTACACTTCCTGGTTGCTTAAATTTGTTTTGAAAGACTCACTATGAATTTTATCCAGATCTTAAAAGCTAGAATTTTCTGAACTATCTCAGTCTTCCTCCATCCAGTTGGAATGTTATGAAATAACATATGGAGAGATACAGTAAAAATCTTATAATGCACTTAGATATAATACATGAATTATCTTCTAATTAAAATATGTTCCAATAAGTATGATATTCATAATCAGTGGACCTTCTACTGAAGTCAGACTCATCAGGAAGTCACTCAGCTTTTATATTTAAGCAGGCAAAAAATATTTGAAAAACAATACAGAATCTCTGTTTAGGCATGGAAAACGAAGCACCGGAGATGGGTTTAGTATTGTCTCTATCTTAGCAGAACAACGTTCTCACTATAGGGTCTATACATTTAAGTCTTCAGCTTATTCAAGACTGGCTTAATATGGACTAGCTTTTCTGGAAACTGCAGAAATCATAAGCAAAAGTAATTTTTTCTCAGAATATCTAAACATTGTGCTTTCCAGCTTATTGAAAGCAGTTAAATATAAATTGCATATTTTTAGTAATTTCTTAAGATATACTGGTACATATTTTAGTATAGAAGGTTATTTATCAAGTACAAGAATTATATTCTACCACTTGGTGACAAATAATGCCAAGTATAAACCTATATGATGATTTCAAAAGCCAAGGTGATAACTAGAAAGTAAGTTTAACTTTGTCCGATTTTCATGGGTTACTTTATGTGGTTAGATCCAGAAGTAACCGTAGGTTTAAGACATTAAAACTGAAACAAAGACTAGGTAAACCTGTATACCTTGAAGCAAATGGTACTTGCATGTTAATAAAGGCTGTATTGACTGAAAAGTGTGATGAACACTTGGTGTTTGATCTTTTTAGCCTTAATTTCTTTTTTTCTGAGAATTTGTGAAACTTTGCTTCAGGACATCTTTCCATGTCATTGAATACTGGAAATTTTTATTTGGTTAAATTTAAGATACTTATTTTGAAACCTTAGCAGTTTTCTGACACTACTTTTCAAATTATGTGGAAATCTCCCCATTGTATTTTTTCTGCATAGAAAACATTACTACAAAATCCTTTATTTTATTCCATTTATATTTCATTTTGTACTGTCTAGGTGATGTTTTTTAAATTGCTTATCTTTCATGTGGTATTGTCAACAGATAATTTTCCCACTTTTAAAGATACTTACTGATATTGAGAAATAATTTATTAATGGGAGTGAGTTCAGATCATGCTAACAAATTTAGAGACATCTTGCTATGCATGGAATTGTCATCTTAGTATGAGTCATTTTGCTAAGCTTATCAGTTATTCATTGAAAATAGAGCACATGCACATGTTCTAAGAAATAATATAAAATTACTGTTTAAGATCAAAGGATATTTAACTCAAGTAATTCCTATCTATAGAGGGAATTTTGTACAAATTAACAAAGCTTTAATTTGTCCAGGTTTAAGAGTGCTAAGTTGGCCTCTTATTGGTTGGATCTAAGTTTGATAAAAACAATGACGGTCTGGTAATCAGAAAATGCCACTGGTCTTTTTTGTATTTTATTTGCAGTATATAAATCTGGTTTAATTCCAGGTTAGTCATATTAGTTCTAAGATTTTATATTCCTATTAGACTAGATTTCTAAGTATTATACCTAATGGTTTGTTGGCTTGAATAAATATTTATTAGCCTAGAAGTATTTTGTATATTAAACAGAGCTCCAATCTGAATTAGTTAGTCTGGGATCTTGGCCAGGCACGGTAGCTCACACCTGTAATACCAGCACTTTGGGAGGCAGAGGCAAGAGGCTTTCCTGAGCTCAGGGGTTCGAGACCAGCCTGGGCAACTTGGCAAGACCTCGTCTCTACAATGAGTCAAAATTAGCCGGGTGTGGTGGCACACACCTGTAGTTCCAGCTACTTGGAAAGCTGAGGTAGAAATACTGTCTGAGCCCAGCAGGTCGAGGCTGTGGTGGCCATGAATGTATCACTGCACTCCAGCCTGGGCAACAGTGAGACTCCAACTCAAAAAAAAAAAGTAAGTCTGGGATCTTATGCTAAGTAGCCACATGAGCTTGAACAAGTCCCTGGGCCTCCATTTCACATATATAGAATTAGGAAGTTGCACGTCTATAGGATATTTACCACCTTATTTTTAATGAATAAGACTGTGTTTGTAGATGTTGCTTAAACCCAAGATTGTGACATTGCAGATGATCAGATTAGAAAAAATTGAATTAAAAAATGAGTTTTTTGCTGTTTCTGGACTAGGCATTAAATTCTACACATTAGTACCAAATATATTAACTAGATCAATTTGGAATTGTAGTTGTTTATTGCCTACTGTAAAGAGAAAATCCAGTTTTAGCTCTAGTTATCAGTAGTTACTGATATAAGGAGAAATTTATGTGCTATGATTTCATACCAGGTCAGCCAGAAACCCGTTTTCATTCATGAGCTAATTTAATAATTTATCCTGGATTGGGTATGTACATGATTGCTTCATATCTCTGTAGCAGAAAACAAGGCTAATTTTTAATGCCCTATGGAATATTCAGTTTACATCCTCCGTATTCTCTAGGTTGGTTTCTTCACCCTCCAAGTTTTTAAAATTAGGATTATTTTTTAAAGAGCAGGTCTCACTTTGTTACCCAGGCTGGAGTGCAGTGGCCTTTCACAGGCACAATCAAGGCACACTGTATGTAGCCTCAGGCTCCTGGCCTCAAGCAGTCCTCCCCATCAGCCTCCCATAGCAGGGACTACAAGCATGTGACACTGTACCCAACTGGAATAATAAAAGTTGCTCTGAGATAAACCTCCTGGTCTCAATCATCAAATTGTTCTATAGATTCTGTATTTTTATATGTTATTCTCATAAAGGAAACAGGTACGTCAGAGTTAGATTTTCCCCCTCTTTATGGTACTAGTTGCTTGTAGTTATTTTTAATATAAAAATCTCTTGTCAAAGGGAGGCCCAAACTTTACCTGTACGATGACCACTTGTATACCTAATCCTGAATCGTACCACACATCTGTGTGTGTGTGTATGTGTGTGTGTATGTGTGTGTGTGTGT